ATGGATTCGTCCATAGAGCTGCAGTCAGTGACACCACAGCCTTTATGTCAGAAGAGCCCCACATGCTACAGGCTTCTTGGCTGTCATCTTTATGGAAGCCCATTTCTAGAACTTTCTTTATTGCCACTGTGAATTTTTCCATGCAAGTCTCGTCTCTCCTCAGAATATTCCTTCCCTCTCATGGAGTTGGACGAGTTGCCGTTTGCAGCCCCCACCTACTCCTGGATGCCTAGAAAATGGGCTGTGAGGGGAGAGCTTGAGAAGGTGGAGGAGGGGGGTGATTGTCTCCTGTAGGAAAACAGCCACAAAGTTCTGCGAAGAGTGCCCTTCTGTGAGATGTGCCAGCAAGCTTCTTGGAGGTTTCAGACAAGAGATGATGAGGCCTAAGGTAGGCCAGTTACCATGGAGACCGTGTTCCTGGAAGTCAGGACTATCAGCACAGGAAGTCAGCACTATCACCTGCTGTCAGAGAACTAGATGTTGGTAAGTGCAAGAGGTCAGAAGACTCTAAGGTATCTGAGAAAGCGGAATTATACAATGAAACACATGGTTTATTTGGGGGAGAGACATTGGAGACGGAGCTGTGGGGGGATTGAGCCGCAGGTGGAAGCGGGTGAGAGAGGCAGGCAGTGGAAGAGCCATTTCCAGAGGGGTGGAGACACTGGGCAAGATCGCTCTGTCTGGATGCATATGCCCAAGATGATGCCCAGGGAGTCGTGTTAACACAGAGTGAGCTGGGGCTGCTCAGTATAAAATGCTCACAGTAAGCGAAGCTGCTGCCCTAGGCATCTGAACCCCCTTGGTACTCTTGCCGAGTAGTCAACTACTACTGCCGAGTAGTACTACTACTGTTGTGGCGTTGTCTGACTCAGGGTGACTTGAGAGGAGAGGAGCACTGCCCCAGGGCTTTCAGTTAGCAGCCGAGTGTTTCAACCACTTTGCCACCAGGTCGCCTAGTCAATGACCAGAAGCCTCAAAGGAGCATTAGGAGTGGGGGCCATGGCAGTTCAAATGTCTTCATTGAGAAATCTCTTTAATTACAATCTACCATAACCCTGCCATTGATTTCCATGTGAAGAAAATGATCCATCTGCTTGGTATTAGGGTCAGTTGGCTTTACTTGATTAGAAGTAATTCTTGGGTTTGGGCTGTAATTGTGTGAAGATGGGCCAGTCCCCCGGCCCCGGCGCCTCTGCTCAGTCCTGACAGCTGACTGAGTCCCTGTCGCCTAACCAGATGTGCACTGCACATCACTCCAGAGAGTGTTTATGTATTAGGTGAACGAGTAGAACAGTTCTTTTTTCACATTAAATTAGGACAAATTAGTCTACTGAAATGGAAACTATTCTGTTGAAATATTTTAAAATGCTATTGTGTGGTGCCCCATAGTATGTGACAATATCGGTGCAGATCCTCCTCCCCCCCCCCTTTGCAAGTCAACACTGACAAATATGCATTTCAGGGTCCAGTGACTCCAGGGAAGACGTTTGATTACGTTGCTAACCCAGAAATGCCTTGGAAGAAAGTCTTGGTGAGCCACTGTCAAGAAAATCAGTCACTGAAGAAAGCTCTAAGAAGCCAGTTCCTCTTGGACACGTATAGATCACCATGAGCTGATGTTGATGCCACACTTAGTTTAATTGGTTTGTTACACATCATTTATTGATATTGTTAGGATTTGGCCTTGAACTCGACCTTGGCCAAGACCTTGGAGATCTTGGCCATGGACTAGGCCTTGACCATGAACGAGACCTTGAACTTGGCCTCCAACTAGACCTTGCACTTGATCCAGAACTAGACCATGGACTTGAACGTGATACTGAACTTGACCATGGTCTTGAACCTGACATTGAACTTGACCACGGGCTTGAACTTGACCATGAACTTGAACTTGACCATGGACTTTCAGCTTGGTACTGAACTTGACCATGGACTTGAACCTGACATTGAACTTGACCACGGGCTTGAACTTGACCATGAACTTGAACATGGACTTTCAGCTTGGTACTGAACTTGACCATGGACTTGAACTTGACCATGGACTTTCAGCTTGGTACTGAACTTGACCATGGACTTGAACTTGACCATGGACTTGAAGCTTGGTACTGAACTTGACCATGGACTTGAACTTGACCATGGACTTTCAGCTTGGTACTGAACTTGACCATGGACTTGAACTTGACATTGACCTTGAGCATGGACTTGAACTTGACCATGGACTTGAACTTTTGAATTTCCATGTGAAGAAAACGATCCATCTGGAGATCTTGGCCATGGACTAGGTGACATTGAACTTGGCCTTGAACTTGAACAAAATCCCAGACCTCAGCTCTGAACTTGAACTTGACCTTGACGGTGGACTTGAACTTGACCCCAATCCCAGATCTCAGCTCTGAACTTGACCTTTTAACTCACCAGTGGACTTGAACTTGATCTTGGACTTGACCTCCAATTCCATATCTCGGCTCCAAACTAGACCTCAACCATGGTCTTGTCCCACAGCTTTGGCTTTGAACTTGACGGTGGACTTGAGCTCGAGAATGGACTTGAACTTGACCCAGTCATTTGACCATGGACCTTGCCTCAAAGTAAACCTGGACCCAGCATGTGGTTTTGAACTTCACTGTGGCCTTGAACTCAACATAGACATTGACCATGGACTGGACCTTAGCCTTGACCTTGAACCTCAGCCTTTGGCCTTGAACTCGATCTAGACCTCAACCATGGACTAGTCCTTGACCCACACCTTGGACTTGACCTTGACCCAGACCTAACTTGGGCTAAACCTTTGTATCAGACTAGACCTTGGACATGGTCTAGACCTTTGACCCAGATCTTGACCTTAAACTCGACCTTGGCCTTGAACTTGGCCTTGAAATGCCCTAGGCCTTGGCCTTACACAGGACCTTTGACCCAGCTTGTGGCCTTGAACTTGACCTTAAACTTAGCCTAGACCTTGGATGTGGGTTCAACCTTGACCTTGAACTCTGCCATGCACTAGACCTTGGCCATGGACTAGACCTTAACCTAGATCTCAGACAAGACCCTGGCCTTTGGGACTAGACCTTGTAGCTTGACCAGGCAGTTTGGCCTTTATCTAGACCTTGGCCTTGACTTAGACCTTGACCTCCACCTAGATCTTGGCCTAGAACTTGGCGATGATGACCTAGACCTTGAAGCATGCCTATTCAGTTTGGCCTTGATCTAGACCTTGGCCTTAGAGCTTGCCTAGGCAGTTTGGCCTTGGCCTAGACCAGCCCAGGTAGTTTGACTATGACCTTGGCTTCCAATCCCTAAGTAATTTGGACTTGGCCTAGCCCTAGGGACTCCGTCTAGGTCATTTGGAAAGGGCCTAGACCTTGGCCTTTGGAGTAGGGCTTGGCTTTTTGGCTTGACCAGGGACCACAGTTTGCCTTAGGACTTAGAACTAATTACTAGGGGACTAATTACCGGGGCTAGGAACTAATTACTTCATATGTGTTCAAGGCAACAAATCCTGTGTGGTCTTCCGAAAATCACTTTCTCTCAGCTTCCAGTTCCCCAAGTGGAGAGATCTCTCCAGGATCTTTCCCAGTAAGCCTTTCACTCTTTTTCCCACACCCCACCCCAAATGTCCATCATATATATTTTTTGATTTCTAACATTGACTATATAGTCCTGTATCCCTACAACTACATGGGAAATCTACTAAATGTTTCCTTAATCTGTACAGTCTAACTAGAATCAGACTAGAATCCTAGAATCTAACTATACTCTCCACCAGGAAGATGGGTGATTTACTGTCTTTGAAAACACCCTAGATGGTCAGATATGGGTCTGTTCTGACTAGACAGTACACAACAATTACAAAGAAAAACCAAAAGAACTCAAATAAGAAATAGTGATATAACAGTAGAAACAACCAAAATTAAAAGATAACAGACTATCATGAAAAACATTACTACAATAAATTATAAAAATCTAGAGAAAATACCCTTGGTACTAACAGTCAGGAGATGTATTACACTGGGAGAAATCTGGAGAGGTCCCTGATGACAAAGTTCTGAAGAGTAAGGCTTTCAGTTTAAAGACTAAGGTGCACTTGATCCAAACCATGGCCTTTTTATTACTTGCTAAACAATTAAAAGTTGGACAATGACTAAGGATGACAGCATCATCATCAATGCCTTTGAGCTGTAGTGTGGAGAAGAGGATTGAATATCCCATGTACAACCAAAAGCACAAATATGTCTTGGAAAAAGCGTAGCCAAAGTGCTCCTTGAAGGCTCAAGATAGGACCGAGTTCACATCTATTGTTCACAGGGTCGCTTTGAATTGTACTCAGCAGTACCTAAAAACACATTTACTAGAGAAAAATACACTTCTTGAATTTTTTTCTTAAATTCTTGAATTGTTGCTATCCTTATCATGTTGTTGTAGTTATTGATTGCTGTTGAGTTGAGTATGACTCATAGCAACCCTACGAACTAAAGGCCTGAAGCCCCTATCGACATTTATCAAAGTCTGTAGAGTTTCCCTAATACACCTGGATTTGAGCTATGTTGCTGCTACACACCGTGGAGTTTGAACCGACCCATAGCTGACCCTCCCGCAGGTTTCTGGAGGCAATGTAACCTCCCATCTTTCTCCTGCAGAGCAGCTGGTGAACTGGAACCACGTGCCTTTGGGATGACAGTGCCACTCCTTACCGCTAGGCCACCAGAACTCCTCGGGCTGTATTAACTGAATATTTTGAGATATTTCTTACAATGGCACCCAGAGCCCTGGTTGTATAGTGCATAACATGTTAGAATCCAAAAGGATGGCAGTTCAAGTCCACTAGGAGCTCCAAGGAATAAAGACAAATGTTTCCTCCCCTGCAGATTGACAGCCTCACAAGTCCAATGGAGGCTCCCTGGGAGCCTGAGTGTACTCGACACAGTGAGCTTTGTGGGGTGATCTTAGCTGGGTTTCTTTTGGGGGGAGTATGAAACCTGCCACCTTTGCTGCATGGCACTCACCTTTATACAACGTTTTGGGCACCTGGCAGGTGTGCCCGCACCCATTGGAGCAGCATTTCTTCACCCCAGAGCATTCGTTATCCACCTCGCAGCTCTCTACGCAGGCAGCAGCGAAGCCACTGGCCCTCTCAGGCGCCGGGCAGTCCCCCTGCTTCACGGACAGGATGTACTTGAGGAACTCGCAGCTGGTCAAGCACTCGTAGTTCTTCTTGGGGAAGAGAGGCTGAAGGAGCAAAGAACAGATACAGTGCCTGGTAAAAGACCCCACAACCTCCATGACATCGGACAGGACACCCCCCATGCTTCAGCCCAAAACAACCCCACCAATGTCGTGTCTGTTCTGACACATTGAGATGATAACACCCTCTATATGAACCCTGAGTCACAAGGGACTCATCGTTCTCTTCAAGTGGTCAGTTCAGTTCAAGAGAGAGGACAACCATACCACTGAGTCTGAGAGATCTCACTTGTTAAGCAAGCTGGTAGAGATTGAATGTTCTCTTCCAAACTGAGAGTTGTCAATCCTAATGAGACCTGTGGCTTGAATCTCATTGAAGAATGAGCTGTAATGTGAAGGTCTTCATGTAGGGTACCTCTGGAGTCAGTGTCTTTGAGATAGGAAAGGAGCAGAGGGAGAAGATGGGGATGGGGCAGAGAGAGGCCAGGGCCCATGAAGATGACTCCAGGATCGAGGACACATACACCCCCACATCCCCCGAGCACCTTGCCCTGGAGCGTGCGCTGGCCCAGGACTTGCAGTCTCTTGAATGGTGCGCGGATGCATTTCTGCTGGTTAGAGCTGCCACGTGTGGCATCTGTCACAGCAGCACAGTAACCAGGACAGGAAGTAAAGGCCAACTTCAGAAAAAATTCATCAGCATGTAATTCAAACGGGTATTGCTGGTGAATAGTCTTTTGCTCATGTTTTAAAAAACAAACATCAGCTTTTAGAAAGAATCTAAATTTTCAGAGTGAGTGAGTGTGTGTGTGTGTGTGTTAGAGAAAGAAAGGGGTATATTACTCTCTTGACTTATAAGGAATCACTGCTGAGCATTCTGGCGAGAGAGAGAGATCTAAGACTGACTCGTTAGCACACAATGTGTATATATTAGAATAGCTTGTTGGCTCACAACGTGTGTGTATATATATTGCAATGACATGTTGGCATAAAATGTGTATGCATTACAAGGAACTGTTGGCAAACAATATGTATATATCAGAACAACTCATTAACACGCAGTGTGTATGTATTAGAACAACTTGTTGGCTCACAATATATACACAGGCAGCCCCCGGGTCATGACGGAGATTAGCTGTGGAGTGTGTCCATAAGTAAAAGAGTCAGAAGTGCTGCGGACAGTCCTAATTTAGCCTCACTTGCCCTCAGGAACTCGAGGGCACGATGGGCAGACTCGGGAGAGTCCCAGCCTAGGAAAGCCAGCAGAGGTCACCAGGAGGTAGAGTGCATACCACTGCAGAGGGTCTGCAGGTTCAATGATGGAAGAGTGGCTGTGTGATACCTGGCAGTGCCTACTGCCATGCCACCTGCTGCTCCTTCCTGATGACTAGCTCTAGCTCAGGGCCTCTGGTCACACCTGGAAGTGTTGGGATATGACAAGGGCTGTTAATCAGAGGCTCACACAATGGGGCAGGCGTGGTAATAGTCAAGGGTGAAAGGAAAAGATAATGCTCACCCTTACTATTCAAGTCTAATGACAAAAGAAAATGTCTCCAATACTTTCCTGAAACAGGGTCAGTTCATCCAATCCAGCCTGTAATCGTGGGACTCTACGGGTGAACCCCAGCTATCTGGCTGACTAGTTTGACTAGTGGGTCTCACGTTCAGACAGTGCTCAGTAACAAAGCGGTATTCGAGCTACAGATGCTGTATACCATGAGATAGATCTCTGCAACATCAAATAATACTGTTGTCCTAGAAGTAAACATTGGAGAGATCCATGTGGCTCTAAGTCCAACTCACATCAAAGCATTCATCCTCATGGTCTTTTCAACTGCATGCTATGCATCTGAGACCTGGACAACGGGTAAGGATGACAGAAGAACTATCGCTGCTTTGGAGTCGTGCTGAAGAAGAGCACTGAAGTATAGCAGGGATGGTGAGGGCTGCGCGGGGGCAAGGCTGCTACTGGGGGTGATCAGCCTGATGGCGTCTAACAACAAGATTAGACACAAGGGAAAGAGAATCTTTTTTTGTTGTTAGATTTCTTAACAACAGAGGAAAACTAGAAATATTAGCTAAAATAAGTACAGTTCCAAGGTTTGATTTCAAGTTCTAGATAGCAACCCTAACAAATCAATCCTTGAATAATAAAGATCGAAAACTAGAAAATTTATGGCATGACATCAGAGATCTAAATCATAGTGAGAGCAAAAAGGACATTACAAAGACAGAGGAAGAAGAGACTGAAAATTGCACTAGAGCATTGAGAAGTCAAAACAAAGAAGAGACATGCAGAACGAAGAGAGCTGAACAGAGAGGATTTCAAAGGGCAGCTCGAGAAGACAAAGCACAGTGTTACAACGGAAGGTGCAAAGTGCTGGAGCATAAAATGGGAGCACCTCGCTCAGCAATTCTCAAGTGGAAAGAACTGAAAAACAAATTCAACCCTCAAGATGCAATACTGAGAGATGCTATGAGCAAAATCTTGGACAACCTAGAAATCATCAAAGAAAATTCAATGAATGCACAGACTCACTCTAGCAAAAAGAATTGGTTGACACTGAAAAAATTCAGCAAGTACCATATGAACAACAGTCAATGATACTGAAGGAAGAAGTTCATGCTGCACTGAGGCAGTGGCAAAAAAAAAAAAAATCGACGTTTCAACTAACACAAACAGCGCTGGAGTTGCTCACCAGTTTATGCCAGGAAACTTGGAGGGCAGGTACTTGAGTGGCTGACTGGAAGAGATCCGTATTTGTTCCCATTCCAAAAGAGGATGTGGAAGTTATCAAACAATATCATTAAAATCACATGCAAGGAAAATATTGCTGAAGATCATCCAAAATGGCTAGAAGAGTACATTGACAGGGAACTGCTCAAAGTACAAGCTGAGTTTAGGAGAGGCCACAGCACTAAAAGTGTCATTGCTGATGTCAGATGGATCCTCGCTGAAAAGCTTAGAATACCAAAAGAATGTCTATGTGCATTTGGCTATGCAAAGGCATTCGACTGTGTCAAATCAACGTAACAAACTATGTCTACAATTGAGAGAAGAATGGGAATCTCAGAGCACTTAATTATGTTCATACGGAACCTATACTTAGACCCAGAAGCAACTGTTGGAATGGAGCAAGGGGACACAGGGTTGCATCCTCTCTCCATACCTATTCAATCTGTATGCTGAGCAAATAATTTGAGAAGCTGATCTCTATGAAAATGTGCATTACGCAAGTGACACACCTTTACTTGCTGAAAATTATGCGGTCTTGAAACGCTTGCTCCAGAAGATCAAGGACTACAGCCTTCAATATGACTGATTGCATCTCATATCAAGAAAACAAATATTGTGACCAGTAAGCAACATCATAATAGATGCAGAAAGAACTGAAATTGTCAACAACTTCATCTTACTTGGATCCACAGTCAAAACCTTTGGTAACAACCGTCAGGAGACATACTACACATTGGTAAAGTCTGCTGTCAGGGATCTCTCCAAATTACTGAGGATCAAGGAAGTTCAAAGACTCAACTGCACCTGATTCAGGTCTTTGCAATTGCTTGTTATATGTCTGAAAGGTGGACAGTGAGTAAGGATACGAGAAGCATCAGTGATCCCTTTGAGCTGTGGTGTTGGAGAAGAGTGCTGAATACCCATGGACTGCCAAAAGAACAAAGAGGTATGTCGTGGAGAGGGACATCCTGCTTGCAACGGTGGAGGGTCTGAGAGAGAGAGAGAGACAGACTCCTGACAAAATGAACTGACATAGTGACTACAGCAGTGAGCTTGTGTGTCAGAGATGATGGCACAGGACAGGGTTCAGGTCTGTGGGTCACTGTGAGTCACAAGAGACTCCACTCACCAACACAGCAACAACTATATATACACGTATATCTCAGTGGATTTATTTCCCAAAAGTCAATCTCCTCTTGTACAACTTACAACTTCAAAACCCAGGAGGGTCAGCTATGAGTTGGTTCCAACAAAATGACAATGCGTTGAGTTGAGAGACATATATCTATGTAAATATGGAAAGAGACGACTTAAATTTATATATGTAAACATACACATGTATTTACATAAATTCATTGCATATATTACATGCATATGCAAACCCTACATGGATGTGTATACACAAATACATAAACCCATTTAAATCATCACCACTTCTCAACACATGTCTCCCTCCCTCCATTTCACAGTTGCTTTTCTGGTAGCTGCTATATGTATTTTACTCCATTGGCTTTTGAAGTTCTGAAATTGGATCCAAACCTAAATTAACAATCCAAGCAAGATGCTAACAGATTTGTAATGACTGCGTGGTGTTCACCAGCTTGCTTCTTTCAACAAAGTGTAGACATTACGTGCAACAACACAAAACACTGGGTTACCAGAGCCATTGGCTCCTACTATGTGGATGGACATTTTCTCAAATCAGGCAATTGTTTACCACTTGCTAACTTGGAAATCACAGTGACTGACTTTGCACTGTGGTACCATCTGATCGAATCAACTAAGTTTCAAATTCTTTACACAGGAAAACAAGGGGGGACTCGAGAATCAGATAACGGAGGAATGGCTCCCACCTGACAGATTCATTATGTACCAGTGGTTACGTCCTGAGCTGAACAGGAAGGCAGAGGTAGTGCCTGGTCACTTTGATAGCGTGCATCTGAGCTAATGCAGTGGGATTGAAAAGCAAACAAACAACCCAACAAGCTATGATCTTTGCATCTCAACATCAAGAAGACAAAAATCCTCACTGTTTAGTGAGCATTAGTGAACAAGGATTTGTGATGTCAACCCAAGGGCAGGTGGTTTGAATTTACCACCTGTTCCAATGGCAATTGATGGACAATATGATTTATAGCCTCTGAAAACCCAATGGAGACTCAGCTGTGAATTGGCTCCAACTTGATGACAGTGCCGTCGAGGAAGTAGATCCCAACTAATAGTGACCTTCCATCAAGTTTCAGAATGGAATACTAAACAGCATTGAAAAACAAGGAACTCATAAAACTACACAACACGGACGAGTATGGAAGTGAATATGAGATATGCCAAGTGGAATATCTCAGTCAGAAAGGGACAGATACTGTATAAACCCACTATTGTAATAATGGGATTGAGATGGGGCAGGCTATGTGGGGGTGGAGAGGGCGCTGGGTGAAGCGTGGGTAAAGAATGGATAGATAATGGACACCTCACAGGCATGGGTGAAAGGAAGGACCTTCTGAAAGGACTAGACAATTAGAAACTATGCGTATGACAATTAATAGCCTGGAACAGGATGAACATTACAAAGGAAACTGGAGGAGGTGGTAGGAGGGAAAATGTGCATGAATGAGTGAAAACCAGTGTCTTTATAAATAAACCTTCCCTAAAGTAAAAATAAGAAGAGGGGAAATCAAGAACATGGCTTTTTTTCTTCTCCTGTCTTGTCTCCATTTCTCTGGGTGTGAACTGAACCCCTAGGCCACGTAAGTACAAGGATACCTGTCCATGCCAACATTGCCATGGCCACTGCCAGACGTGGGCATGCACTCAGGGAACACTGCACGTCAGCTGCAGCTCTTACCTCGCAGAAGCTCTGGCACTGGTGCCTCCTCAGGTCCCAGGACTCCTTGCAGGGCTCCAGACACTGAGAGAGATGAAAACAAAAACGAGGTCAGCCATGGGAAGACTCAGAAGACAAAGCCAAAAGCTGCCAGGTGCCGCTCTTCAAGTCCCAAGGTTTCCTAGTTAGGGTCAGGGAGCCCAACTTGTCAATGGAGTCTTTTAGCTGCACTAAGCCAGAGTATCGTTGCAAAACCAGGGCAGTGTGTGAGTGTGTGTGTGTGTGTGTGTGTGTGTGTGTGTGTGTGTGTGTGTGTGTGTGCGCGCGCGCTTGTGTATTCTGCTACACCCATTTTTCAAAACAGAGACTAAAATATAGTTAGACATAGTCTCTGGGTACCATAAAGGGTTAAATGCTTGACTACTAGCAGAAAGGCTGGCAGTTTGAAAGCCCCAAAGGTACCTTTGATGACAGGCCTGATAATCAGCTTCCTGGAACTCACAGACTTAAAAATCCTGTAGAGCAGTTTTACTCTGCACACATGGGGCTGTCATGAGTCAGAATTGAGCCCACAAAACACACAAAGTCGGAGGAGGGGAGGCGGGGGGGGTGAAGAGACAGAGTGTGTATGTATGTATGTATGTATGTATGGATAGATAGATAGATAGACAGACAGATATAGTTGATTGCCTTCGAGTCAAGCATGACTCATAGTGACGCTGTCAACAAAAGGCCTGAAGCTTTTCTATAGCTATCATCATTTATCAAAGTTCATAGTTTCCAGAGGTGTGTTGTTTTAGAAGTGTGTTAACTGTAGGTAATTGTGCAACAATGAATGAATTTAAAAAAAAAAATGTGAACTGGGAGAGGGAAGGGAGGGCGAGGGGATAAAATTTGCAACAATGAATGAGTAAAAATCTAACTTTGTAAATGTTCATTAAAATCACAGTATTTTTTTAAAAACTGCCTAAGATGGGGGGGCGGGGGAGGGCTGGGCAGGGAGAGAAGTGCAGCAATGAATGAATGGAAATCCAAAATCTCTGTAAATGCTCATTAAAATTATAAAAAAAATTAAAAACACACCTGCCTAAGATCATTACTGGAAAAACAGAAGGAAAAACGGTGAGATCTGTATGGACCTGCAAAGAGGGAAGGGGAGGGGGAGAAGAAATCATGGGGTCAAAGAGTTCGGTGGGTGGAGGGAGGGAGTGGGGGGAATGTACATGAATGAAGCATGGTAGAAAGAGAAAAGCCGTATGGAGGAGCTCGGATGGGCAGTGTAGTTTACTGCTAACTCAAAGGACACGGCCCTTGAGTGGGTCCAATCTACCAGGAACTCCTCAGAGAATGCTCGCCAGTCTCCCCAGAAACCCAGTGGAGGGTCAGCTATGATATGGCTCTAACTCAATGACAGGAAGGTCCCTCGGTGAAGTCCCACTATGACTTAGTACCACGGTCACAGGGTTCAGGCTGATATGCATGGGGTCTCTGACCTTGAAATCCGGCAGAGACACACAGCCCTCCATGCCTAGGGAGGCAGGGTCTCCCTGACCAAGTTCTGCTGGGAACCCTGGCGCTCACTCAACTTCTGGTAGGGACAGCTACAGGATTTGGTGACAACAAAGGGGCCCATCAACTTGAACTCACTCACTGACGCTGCACACAAACAACTCATATTTCATTGAGTCCTGAGGTCTTCAGCTGGCTGTCCCAGGATGCAAAGTTTTACCCCTCTAGTGTTCATGACCCAATGCATAAATCTTGTAACCAACACAGCTTTTCAGAAAATTCCATCAAATAGCCCCAAAACAATGTTTTAATACTTGTTTCTTAAAGGGAGGTCAATTCCTTATTATATAATTAAGACACTGGTTCTTGTTTCAAGACATCTTGGGTTTTGGGGTTTTTTTTTAAAAAAAACCCATTAGTTCCTAGCTGGAAAGTTTGATGGTATGTGTTGTGGAGTTGGCAATGACTCACAGGGAAGCTGTAAATAACAGATGCCCTATCCTGCACCCACTCTCATGATCTTTAGCTAGGAATAAAACCAAAGACTCAGGGGAAAACTAGGAACAACTTTAGAAATGCTCAACTACAGCATGAACAAGCTTGCAAGCATCCTGAGAAAACCTATAGCCAGGAGAGAATATTTAAAATAGATTAATGGGATCTTCTAAAAAAAATCAAATCCCTGTGCACATCAAAACACTTCTCCAACAGAGTAAAATGGAAACCCACCCAGGAAAAAACATTTGGCAACGACATATCTGATAAGGGACTCATGTAATATCTATAGAATACCTCGAGAAGTGTCCCTGGACTCCCTTCAGTTCTAAATGGATACAGAAATTGTTACAACCCCATGTGTCAATCAATACGTGCACTGTGTCTTGCCAAAGCTGCGCAGCTGCCCAGTCGTGAGGGGTCACGCCAGCATGCAACACCATGTAAGGCACAACGCCCTGCATGCCCACAACATAAAGCAACTGCCTCGAACCTTCTCAAGGCTAGTTGCTTTCCCACCATGATGTGTGTCCAAGGGGATCCACCGCCAGGATTATCACAGTGAAGGGCCCGCTAGAAACCCTGCCCGCACCCCCCATCTCTTCTAAACTCCCCAAAAGGGTGTTTAGAAATGGTCCCAATCACAAAATCCCAATGAGGAAAGAAATGAGTCAGGGACTACTGTCACAGCCTGAGAGGCTTCCCAGCAAAGCAGCACAGCCTTGGGTCCAGGTGCTTCTGCAAAGCTGACTTGTACAGGCTCTGTAAATACAGCTTTCAGGGATTTGCCACCGAGAATCCAGGCCAGCAGTGACGGTCACTGCCTCCTTTTGTCTGGGTTCCTAACTGCACAACCCACAGGGGACGCAGCTCCAGTCCTTCACTCAAGCTGGCATCCCTAAAGGGCTCCTCGCTCTTTCAACATCAACACGGAGTCCTGGTTGCACAGAGGTCAAGTACCTGACTGCCAACTGAAAGGCTGATTGTTCAAACAAACCCTAGAGCTGTTCTTCAAGACACAGATGAAGCCGTCTGCTTCCATAGAGATTACTAAGCCCATGGCCATGGAGTCAATTCCAAGCATAGGGATGGACCCTCCAGCCGTTTCCAAAACTATAAATCTTTATGGGGGGAAACTACCCATCTTTCTCATGTGGAAAGTTGATGGATTCAAACCAGCACTGACCTGGTTAGCAGTGCAACACGGAGTGCGCAATGCCAGAGCCCCACGGGGCACTTCTACTGTCCTGCAGGGTTGCTATGTTGTTGTTGTTATTATTAGCTATAAGTCATACATACTCCACAAATACCCTCTGAACAACAGATCTGAACCTGTCCTGTCCTGTGCCATCCTCACAATCTGTCATCCTCAAGCCCATTGCTGCAGTCACTGTGTCAATCCACCTAGTTGAGGGTCTTCGTCTCCTTCGCCATCCCTCCATCTTCATAGTGTCCCTCTCCAAAGAATCACCTAGCAACACGCCCAAAGTATATGAGATACAACTTTATCATCTGTCTCCAAGAAGCACTCTGGCTGCACCTTCTCCAAGACCCATCTGTTTGCTCTTTTAGCAGTCCGTGGGATCTTCAGCACCACAGTTCAAAGGCACTGACTCTCCTTCTGTAGTCCTTAGTTATTATTAGGTCTCAGATGCATGGCAAGTGACTGAAAAGACCATGGCCTGAATCGGACACATCTTAGTCCTCAAACATCACTGCCCCTCAATGATTTCGAGAGGTCCCTGACTATGGACTTTCTCATTGCAATACATCTCCTGACTGCTGGTACCAAGTGTATTAGTTGTGAATCAAGCAGAATGTAACCAGTGGCAGTCTCAACGTTTTCACCTATAGTGAGGTACCTATCAGTCCAGTGGCTAGGATTTTTTTTTCCTTGACGTTGAGATGCAATTCATATTGAAGGCTTTAGTCTTTGATCTTCTGCGTCAAGTGCATCAGAGAGTCACTATGAGTCACAATCAAGTTCACAACAAAACGTTATGACATCAAATAAGGCAAGAAATGTGTATAACCTAGAGCCTTTGCCATAAACCATTGGATGGCGTGCCCTGACGAGTTATTGGCTGTCAGTCGTGTTTGCGTATCCTGCCTAAATTCCTGCAAAAAAATCTGCAATCAGCAGAGAGTAAGTCCCTGTGTTCCCTGGACATGGTTGAGCACCCAAGTGCTAACCAACTGACAGGTCATGAATTCGACTCCACCAGGTGCTCCAGTGGAGATGGATGAGGCTTCCATACACATGGCAGCCTTAGAAACCCCAGGGGTCTGCTCTACCCCACCCTAAAGGCTCACCAGGCATCAGAATCCACAGTTAGAGCATAACAGCATCCTCTGGCTGGCCATGACATCAACCACTCATTTTCTCCAGTCTGACCCTGCGCAATTCAAACTAGATCAAGAAGCCTGGCATTGCCTTCAGAGAGACACCCCCCCACACACACTGAGTCCAAACGTGCACCCTGAACCCCAGCATTCATCAGGTCAGACTGCATAGCTCCACTGGAATCACCAGCACCAGCCTTCTGGGAGTGTGAGCAGCAGAACCCCAGCTCCTCCGTGGAATCTGCTCAGTGGACTGTGACATCACCGAGCCTCAGGCTGCAGGGCAAGTGGAGTGGAGGCTTAGCTCTTCTCGTGGCACATGAGAAAGCTAGCGATGATGCTCACTGCCGGCGATATCCTTCCCACAGACCCTCGACCCCACACAATTCCTCAGCAAGTATTCAGTGGGGGATTCTGGACGCCATCTCCTCATCCCCAGCTGGTATCAGGCATCCTTCCCCAGGGTGTGCCTCACCATGTAGAACTTGCTGTGTGTCACAAGCTCAACCAGATCCTTGGCCCTTTGCAAAGCCTGACGGCTATTCTAGGTTCTAGTTTACAGTATACAATGTGCCTCAGCAATCTTGATGAATGCAAGACACGTGCGACGAGTGGTGGCCACTGGCATTGCCCGCCTTGGTGCCCCTTGTGTATGTCAGTGACAGTCTGCTCCAGGGAGGTCCCAGAGGCCAGTTTCCCAGTAGATCCCCAGATCCTGAAATGGCCAGGCTGCCTGG